ATATATATCGCCCGGTTAACTGTTCATTATTTAATGTTTATTACGTAAACCTACTCATGTGTATTCGAGAAACTTCCTGATGACCTGATACGACTATGGAATCCTACTGGCCACAAACAATGTATAAGTGTAAAACATAGTATTTCGTATATTGTGTTACTGTATTCTTACAGATATTGAATCCATTCACACACAGACTTCTAGCTTTTAGATTGTCAAATCACACCGCATCTTAAAAGGTGTTTATTGTAGAAGCAAACATAAGTAGTCATAGAGTAATTTTTAAAAAGATTCTGGGTGTTCATGTTTAGAAGAATGTCCCTTAAGTATTTACATACTGATTTATGAATAGGTTTAATAAAAATAAAACTAAGAATAACATTTCTCCCAAAAAGGTCTCGTTAGCAAGATATATAGTATTTTGTAATGTTGTCTTTTAAATTTAAATCTCGACAAAGAATTATGATATCTTTATGAAATTTGGTACGTAATTGTACCAAATCTTTTTTTTTATGTCATAATCCATTTCTAAAAAAAAAAACAATCATAAAAAAGTTGTTTGTTTCAAAATTACGGCTATTTCAATTTATATAACCTAATTGACTGAAAGAGGCTGGTTTTATGAAAAAATCCAAACACGTTTTTATCTATAATTTCCTATTATACAACACAAAGTTCAAGAAAATCAATTAATAAATAGTTGAGAAATCACTATGTTTAGTTGTACAGGCCCGGAAATTAAAGCTAAGCAGTATGGGTCCGTCTCATTTTGGGTCTAAAAATGATTTTAGTTTTAACTTGTTTAAGGTATCACATGAAATGTTGTGCTAAAAGTATTCTGCACCTTTATAAATCAAACATAATATATTCAAGCCATTGTACAACTCGTTGATATATAGAGCCTAACGATATATGTACCGAACACAAAAACCTACCACACTACAACACCAAAGAGTTCTGACCAAAATCTCATAAAACCACATAGACACTGTATCTATTCTCTTTCACCTCAGTTCTCATTAGCTATTACGTAAAATTGGCTAATTTGCATCAAATTCGTCCACGATCAATTTTTACTTAATAATTGCTTAATTCGGTTAAATCAGTTTTATTGGAGTGGGTAAGACTAATATCTTAATCTATTATTCTAATTCCGTAAGGAGTTTCTTGTGCACAGCAAAACTCTTTTATTTATTAACCGATTTTGATGATTGATGTGTCAAATTAAAGGGAATTATCTGCAGAAGTCATGGAATAATTTTTGTCACGTTCAGTTCAATGTGCTTCGCCCCATTTGACTTTAAAGTTTCCATTTATTTTTAAATATAAGTGAATATTTAGTTAATTTTATCAAACATATGATTCGTTTGCTTTAAAAAATCATCTGTCTTCATAAAAGTAGCCTTTTTCCCTACTGTCATTTTAATGTTTACATTTTCTGTTTACCTATCAGTTTACTTTCAAATACAATGATAACTTATGAGATGGGATAGTTTATTTATGCAGTTTCATTCATAGGGAGTAAAAATCAATCTATTTCATTATGTGATTGTATTTTTTTTTTTCAGATAAGGTGTATGTTAATGTTTTCATAGATATTTTTATGTGTTGTGTTTTCCAATTTTTAATTTTGATTACCATAAAATGCCACCTAAAAGAAACAATTCCGTGTTTGCGATTCGGCGAAGTATTAACACGGAGATCGTATGATAATAAAGCTTGAAAAGTTACCTATGTTGGTTTTTGAAATTCAAAGAAATGTTATGCGATCGCTTGATTATTTTTTAAATATTGCTCGGACAGATGCTGTCACAACAGACTATTTTGACTTAGGAGATCTTAGCGTACAGTACAAAACAGAATTAAATTGCCAATACAATGAAATATGTCAGTTTCAGTTTTCGGGATAAAATCCAAAACCAAAAGTAAAGAAGCTAAATATTTGTAAAATAATATTATGGGATGAAGCTTTTATGTACAATAAGTATGCTTTATCTTCTGTAGAATTATTACTGCGAGATATTGCCAGAAGAGAAGACCAAGAAAAGCCTTTTGGTGGAGCGGTTTTTGGAGGTAATCTCCGGCAATGAGCTATCATAGTCTCTGGTGCGAGTCGCTGTGCAATGGTAGAAAATTCAATAATTAATTATATAACCTTTATGGCCAATGTTTAAAAATATTTCACTTGCTAAAAACATGAGAGCAAATCCAAGTGAATCAATATTTGCTGAATATCTTTTACGAAAAGGGAATGGCCATAATGATCTTTGTGAGACATTGACAAGTCTTCCTCTTCCTTCACAATGTTTTGTGATTATAAGATATCAAAATATAATTGACAAAATCTTCAGTGAAGGATTCTCTCAAGATGCTTAAAAAAGACAAAAATCATGCAACAATTTCACCAAAGAATGAACATTAAATAATAAAATAGCCAAGCAACTAAATAATGACAGTAGAGTTTCTTCTCAGTAGATACTTTGATTCACGAAGGAGAACAGTTACATCCACACTTTAGCACCAAGTGGTTATGTCTCACAAGTTATGCTTTAAAAAAGGTGTAATAGTAATTTTACTAAGAAATTTAAACCCATAAAAAGGACTGGTTAATGGAACCAGATTAATGGTGAAAGAGGTTAATTATCTTAAATATTAAATCTGGAAATGATTACTGGAAGTTCGGCTGGAAAACGAGTTTTATTATTAAAATTAAGTTTAGAATCGTCAGAAGGAAATTTTCTCCTGAAATTCAAACGTCAGCAGTTCCAAAAAATATTCAAAAAGGTGTAATAGTAATTTTACTAAGAAATTTAAACCCATAAAAAGGACTGGTTAATGGAACCAGATTAATGGTGAAAGAGGTTAATTATCTTAAATATTAAATCTGGAAATGATTACTGGAAGTTCGGCTGGAAAACGAGTTTTATTATTAAAATTAAGTTTAGAATCGTCAGAAGGAAATTTTATCCTGAAATTCAAACGTCAGCAGTTCCAATGACCAATGGTAATGGCAATGGCAATGGAGTTCCAATGGTTGACGTTAAAAGCTTATTACAAATTGCTTTTGCCATGACCATCAAAAAAATACACTTGAAAAAGTTTGTCTTATCTGCCATGCTTCCAGCATGGGGCATTGTACGTACCGCGCTTTTGATTAACTAAAAATAATGGTTAAAGAACAACGAAACCAAGGTCATCCGGTTCAAGACGTTATTATTTGCGCAAAGACATCGTATGAAAAGAGTTTCACCTTAAAAATTTCAAAAGTAAGATAATAACTGTTCTGTAAGGCAGTATTCTGAACTCTGTTAAAACCTTTATTAAAACAGTAATAACAGTATTGAGTATTGACTTTTGATTTATTATGTAGTGACAAGGTAAAATGGTATTTAAATAATTATTAAAATGACATTAAAATGTAGTTAATATTATTAACTGGAAACAACTAGTAATTATTATAATGGTAATGTATGCATTAAACAAGCTACATATTTGAGTTTCATAACAAACTAAAAAAAAAACTAGCGCCACAGTAGCTTACGTGGATTCAAACTGAAATTACTTCGCCTACTACCTAATTCGCCTTTTGAATTAGGTAAGAAAATCTTTAATTTGCTGCCACATAATGTAAAATGCTTAGATGATAAGAAATTCAAAGTGCATTTGAAATCTCTTTTGATAGAATTAAGTGTGTATGATGTTGACGAATTTATCACTTATTTAAGGTGTCCAGTTTTGTAAATAGAAATTTATTGTAAAATATGACGATGCCATACGTATGTTTTGTATGTTTTACGGCAATAAATGATTTGATTTGATTTGATTTGATTTGATTTTGATAAGGGTGTTCATGTTGGTCCTCGGCTGAAACGTGTAACCCACTGTAAATTAAGTTTGACGATGAGATTATAAATAAATATGAAACGCCGAGAGATTAATAAAAGTTATTTGTAGAATAAGAAATACTACTTCAAACATAAAATTATAACATATACATTGTGTGACCAACTGGGTTAAAATGCCGACAATACCGTAAGATACAGCCACCGGAGGGACGTAGGGTGTATAGGCGATCTACGTCACAGCGCGCCTCGTAGAAATGCATGCAGCAAAACACAGGGCGCTCTCTTCTTTGGGAACGTTAGAAACTGTTTTATTTCACCTTTAGCCATTGTAGTCGTGTTTCCTGGCTATACAGGAATGTTAGAAAGTATTGCATTTCATTTTTTAGATATTCTAAATTGCTTCGGTCTGACGTTAGTGACGTTTATTTAATAGTTTCACATGTAAACGTCCATATAATTTGGAACCATACTATTATTTTATATATCAGAAGTTATGGAACGATATACCATGCAAAACCTCATTTTGGACAAGTAGGCCTATAAATGAAAAAAAAAATATATTTTAATTAAGTCAGTATAAATTTAAAACTCTTAAATACATTTGGTTTTTATAATTATTTTAAATAAAAAAAAACAGTATATATTCGTGACCTTGTTTTGTAGTATAAAATAGTGTAATACTGTTTCACAGCAGTTGTCATCTTTAAGCTATCTGTTTTAGACAATAAAAATGAAATTATGTATTTTTTTATTTTTTATTTTAAGTATCGTAATATATTTTGATAACTACTTTTGGTAATAATTTATTGCAAAAATTGTCTTAGACGACTTATTTATTGCAGGCAACATATTAAATTATGGCATTATATATTAAAATTTTTATTTCAAGAAGAAAAATAAATAACCAAAACATTACTAACTTATTCTATTGCATAATTTATATCAAACGTTCTACCTATAGCCCTAATGTAGCATGTTATAATGGATAAGCCCATCAATATAAAGTGTTAGTAATAAATCATAGGATCAGTAGCTTATACGCCTATAAATGCATACCATAAAAAGATAATTCGAGCTTATTTCCAATTAAAGATTTTTTTTTAGAAAACCTGTGTTTGTATTATTTATGAAACAGCAAGCAACATAAAGACCTACCTGGATAAACTTGCCGTTGCACAAAGTAGTTATGTGGATTGACCAGAGGTAAGAACACACAGAGGCACACTACAAGACTTGCAGACATATCTGGAGCAGGGGGAGTACTGGACCCTGTACCAGTAGACTGACACTGGACCAGGCCAATGTTTTTGTAGCTCAGTCTGATATGTTGTGGCTATAGTAGTCCGTCTCTGGGCCAATGTCATCAGGAATAATCTACATTTCCGCAAAATCGTGTTGTGGTTTTATAAAAAACAATAGGGAGTTGCAGTTGATTGCGTAATATATTTAGTTTAAGGTTGCAATGTAATTGCATTATAGAAATAACTTACCAGTGTTTGAAAATATTCAAATAGTAAGAATACTATTTTAGTATTTAACCCTGACTCGATATTAATGAATATATACAAAGATTCAAATAGTTAATAATCCTAGGAAATAACATGTTTGCCCTAAACTTGATAATTGGTATTACAATCATTAAAAGATTGGCTAAAGAGTAGAACTATTTAAACTCTAAATATTACATTAAAAGATGCTATAAAGTACTATGATTGCTTTCATAGCAGTGAAAGCCAGTTGAACGGAGCGATTACGTTTTGTGGTTTTTAACGAAGCAGTAAATTAAAACAATGTTTATAAATATGATATAATGATATAAATATATCAATTTAACTTATCAGTTTGTCTCAGAACTATCAACATCTATAGCAAGTTTCATAAGTAAAGATGGGTACATTAACAAAACAAGTTACATTAGCCAAGTCTTAATATTAACATATTTGCTTGGTAATGTAATCTGTTCTGTTAACCCAACAGTTCTGGCTGAACCCCTACCAATCGACATTTTTCTCAATCTTTACCAGATTTGACAATTCAGGCAGAAATCATCCTGCATGGATCCATACGAGCAAATGTATTTTTTTTTTACTTCCCTGCTTTGAGATAATTTTACGAATAGTTTTCACCATACCATATAAGGTATATATGATGCTAATGTCATCTGGTGAACCCACAGTTCTGGTTGAACCCGATTTTGAACCTAAAACAACCAACATTTTCTCAATCTTGGCCAAATTTTGCAATTCAGGCAGAAATAATCCTGAAGACGTAAATTTTGTAAGACTTGCCTGCTTGAGAGAATTGCACAAATAGTTGTCACCATACCTTATATGTTTATGAGGTTTGTTTTCTTTACATGCATTGGTCAATTAAAACTAAGAAGAACTGAACCAGAATTTTGATGAACAGGAAAACGCTGGGAATTATACTATAGTTATTTTGGGAACGGGCTTATGATGTTCTTATATTAGTCATAGTCATAGTCATAGTATATTATTGGGCAAATGATTGATGGGTAATTTATTGGCAAATTGATTGGGTAATTGGGGGTAAGATAATTGATGAGCAAATTTAATAGCTTAAATTTGTGTGATTTTTTTGCGTGTATAAAATAGGATACAGGGTAAAAAGGGTACAACAGGTCACGGCTGCTTCCGAACCTTTTTGCACAGAATGAGGAAGGCTGCCAGCTCAGACTGTACTGTCCCAGAATTGCAGAGTACACCTTCTTTTGTGACAAGTGGCATGCCTCTGGCCAAACCTGTTTGATCTCTAGGAATAGGATCAGTCTCGACATCATTCCTGACAAAAGGGCTGGAGCTATGCTCTAGGGAGAGGAAACCTGGAACTGTGTCAAGCAGTTCACCGAGGCCAAACTTCAGGCAAAGAAGGTCGATCTCGATCAGCCTTAGCCTTCGAATGAAAATAAGAAGGAAAGCCCTAGCGGCATAGTTCAAAAGGCCTAGTCCGAAGTAACGTGGTAAACAGTTCCAGGGAAGTTTCCTAGCAGGAGGTTTTTGTAGCCGGTAGTCCGGGACATTGAGCCCACGGGAATCTGGCACTCCTGAGCCGACATTGATAATCTCAGTGTGCATTAACACATTTTTATCTCTTCCCTTGAAAAAGTATATTGCAGAAACCAATGAGTACACCACCCTTACTTATGGAAACATATATTTAACATTTACAGATTTACAGACGGTACATAGGGCCTACAGACAAATTTAATCACCAGCTTAAACAATCATTCCAAGAGTAAGTTTTGACTTTTCAGCTGTAGAGCTGTACTGTTGTTAGTGAAATTATTAGGTGTAAGCCAAAGTGGATGATGGTGTTTTAAACAAATGTTACCTTCCTATAGCTGACATTTAAATGAATTTTCATATTGATGGATGTTAGCCTCCGGATTACTGTGAGAGTCTAGGCTTTACATCCGTCTGGTACACGTCGCTCACCTTCTCAGTAATTTTGTGTGTGTTTTTTAAATGTTAAACATCAGTGCTCAATGTTCAATGTTCGTGTTAAGTGTTTATTAGTTTTTTTTTTTAAATATGTATATCATATAGTTACACATTGACCTGGAAATGAAGTGACAACTTATATACTTGGAAGCCTTAAGATGACTCCACGGAGTTGAAACTGGTTGCTACATAAGCAACGAATTGGATTACTTAAATACAGGTAACTAAACCACTTTAAATGAATTTTATGTATACATCATATAGTTTCACCGCTTTAGAATCTTATATCTATAGTAGGTACTTTGTTTGCTTGGATTTTGGTAAAAATATCTTGGACTGTCTGGAAATCCTACATTACGTTTCTCAGACAGTTTTACAAGAGCAATTGTACTTTGCACTTGAGTTACACATTATATTTTTCCTACAGTTGCCATAAAACAAATAAATTGGTGAAGAAACGTAACATATTTTTACACAGAAGTGAACTTTTAATATAACATTTAATGTGAAGTGACAAATACAACAGTACAACAGTACAACAGCAGCTGACCAGCTGATTTACAGCCAGTGCTGGCAACGTATTTCGCGTGCATACGACCTTGTCTGCATGTTACGCGCTCACTATTTTGTGCCTTCACGTTGCAAATCTGGAGTGAGACAAAGTAATTAGAGTGAGACAATGTTAACATTGTCTCACTGATGAGCAAATTGGCCACATTGCTTTCTCAAATCAGTGAGAGAACATATACATTGTTAGGTAACTGTAGGAAAAGTATATTTTCCTGAGTTTATTATTAAAAAGGGTTTAACAAAGACAAGTAAATTATCAAAATTAGGGTACTCACAATGGATAATTGTGGTACTGTATATATGTGGTACAACAATGGTATACACTAACTAAGTAATAGGCGTTTTAGTCTACGCAAAAAAAATAATAATAATAATAATAAAAGTGGTAGGTTAAAATAAGAAATATAAACATTATAATCTGTTACAGGATTTGATTTATTCAAAAGCCAACAGAGAAATATCACAATATTATTACATACAATAATAATTTAAAGTAAACGAGAAAATATGTTTTAAGTATTTACAAAAAGTAATTTTACAATAATTTTTATAATACCGTAATATTTACACTTAAAGTTGTAATAGTCAAAGGCTGTATACAGGGGTGATGAAAAGTCCCGGGACAGCTTAATATTTTCTTAACCATTACAGATGGAGATATACAAGTTGGTACACTGTTACTGGGCATAAAACACTATTTTTACTATAACTTCAATGAGCCGCTACCTTTTCAGGGGAACGGCCCACAAAGAGTCGGAAGAAAATCTTAAATAGAAGCATAGATATGCACATCAAATTTTAAGACTTTATTAGTATAATACAATTCGGAAAATTTTGAACCCAAACGAACAACCTACCAAAATGGCAGCCTTTCAAAGATATCTTGAATCTGCCATTTTGAATCTTTGAATGAATGCCATTTTTTACTTTGTTCTTTTGAGCCGAAATTTTTGGCATTGTGTTCTAATAATTAAGACCTTTAATTTGATGTGCATATCGACCTATGCATACGTTTATGATTTTCTTCTGACTTCTAGCGAATCTCCCTGAGGAGATAGCGTATAATAACAATGGAAATTCAATGCATCTATAAATGCTGAATAGCTGTCATTTTTTACTCGGTTGTTCGTTTTGAGTTCGGGTTTGCAGCATTGTATTTTACTAACAAAGGCCTTAAATTTGATGTGCATATCAGCCTATACTTCTATTTAAGATCTTCTTCCAAATCCTTGTGGACCGTCCCCATGAAGTGGTAGCAGCTCATTGAAGTTGTAGTAAGGGTTTTATGTCCAGTAACAGTGTACCAGCTTGTATAGCTACATCTGTAGTAACGGTTAAGAAAATATTAAGCCGTCCCGGGACTTTTCACCACCCCTGTATAGTAAGTGTATACTCTAGTCCAAATCAAATGTAGTTACTTTTTTACTATTGCTAGAATCCTGGTATTTTAAGTCAGTGGGACAATTTTAAAGCCCTACAGACCTTAACTTTGAGAAGGAATAAAATAGAATAGTCTACAAAAACAAAAGTAACAATTAAAAATGTAAAAAAATTGTATTTAAAATCTCCATGAAAATCATTTCATCTAAAATTTTGATTTAGACTTGTTTCTTGGCTCCAAATGTCTTAAAAGGACATGCATATAGGCTAGACTTTGAAGAAAGACTCTTTGTTAAAATTATCATTTCATGCAACAATTTAAACATATTAACCAGTTAGCAGCGTAGGTAATGTAAGGCTATATACAGATTGTGTTTGTATTGCTGGTTATATTTGTGCAGGTACAGGTACAGTAGTGGCCGAGATGTCATTGATAATTCCACTCCCCTCATTGACAAGGCGTTGTCTCTCTCTGAACATAGACACTCGCATGTTCTCTAGTTGATGATAGCGGCAGAGTTTGAGTGTTGCAAACACTGAGAGTCCGACCCAGCAAGCCATCGAAGCCCAAGCACCAAACTGAAATACCAAATATTGTGATGAAAACACTGTGTGGAGCAGGCTGACCTTTGCATTGAAATGAAATGAAAACAGTGCTTTATTTTTTAACAACAAATAATTACAAAACCTAGGCTGCTCACAGGAAGCCCCTATTTCTTACACCCAACCGTAATGGTTCATAAAATGGTCTACATGGTTGACATGCATTTTTTAGCGAATTTCCCATTATAGGGAGTGAGTAAGCTATTACTATTAGGTCTCATGGTAAGACCTGGACCCAGGAACGATTTACTTTTTTGTTTTTAAGTCCCTAGAGGCCAAAAATCTTAGCATAAGCCTACTAAGAGCAGCGACTCCCTTAGCGGCTTTGTCAATGATTTACTTGATCTGCTCAATGAAAAACATCTTGCTGTCAATCATGACACCGAGGTATTTGGCATACAGCTTGGTCTCCTGCTGGACATGGCCCACTTGCACAGGAGGGCAGTAGGAATACCCTCCTTGGTTAAGACCATGATCTCGGTCTTTCCAACCCCTAGCGACAAGCTGTGAAGCTGTGGTCTTGCATCCACCGACTGAAGAAAATGAAGATGACTGGGTCAACCAACGCATCGAGACCTGTAGAAATGTATGTCTAAAAATATATAAGCGTCTAGGCAGCCAGTGCAACTCCGAGGATCGTGGATCAGATCGGAAAACCCCCCACCACCGCTCCGTGCCGATGGCGTGACGTCAACGATTACCACAACGATACGGAGCCAAGTCACAAGCCTTGGTGGTGCGTATCGGGCTGATAATCGAAAGGTGCCGGGTTCGAATCCCGCTGGTAGCACTAACTTTTTGTCAACAATTTTTTCATATCAGCAAGTTTGGTTGGTTTGGTTAGGTTATGACAGTATTTTATAATTAAAAAAAACTATAAAATTAAATTTGAGACATTTATAATTTTATTTTTAGAACAGAACTATTTTTTTGATTAGTAAACCTTCATTGGAGTTTTTCATTATCAGCAAGTTTGGTTAGGTTATGACAGTTTAGTTATTTTTTATTTAAATTTAGCCTACAAACGATACGTTTTGACAGCGACAGTGATAGAGATAACAATTTTCCGCGAACAGTTAGGCTATGCTGATGCGCCGGTATGATTCGGAAGCGTACGACATGGTGCGGTGGTGGGGGGTGATCTGATCCACGATCCTCGGAGTTGCACTGGCTGCCTAGACGCTTGTTAAAAATATGGTTGTTGGTTGTAGGTCTATTAGAATAGCCCCTAAATATGCTGTTGCCGTGGTTTCCATGTGGAGGATATTTTTCCATACAACTGGCAGCATTTTTTTAGACATAAATTTCTACAGGTCTTCATGCGTTGGTTGGCCCAGTCATCTTCAAGTGAGTTAATGTGCATTTATCGTGTTTTATTAACTGAAATGGCGACTATACGATGGTAGTATGAAGTAAGTATGAATGGAATGGAAATGAGTGTAGGATGAGTTTTTTTTATTAATTATTAATGAGATAGGAAATCTGTCCTTGAAGTCATTCTCTGCTTGTTGGATACAGTTGATACCGTTTATGAGACTTTGATATATTCTGAACAAAAGGCATTTGTGGTCTCTGCCAAGAACCAGCCCAACTGTAATCAAATCAAATCAAATCAAATATGCTTTATTCATAAAGTACAGTGTTGTACATTGAATGGTGTCAACTAAATCTATCTTAAATTAATAATTTACAGATTTGCATATCTTGGATCATTATCTAAATAAAAAACCAAGAATCAGGAAATGGAAATAATCAAAACTGAATCAATTATGTACTAACGCTAAGAGGGGAGGTGGAAAAATACTCTTCCAGGGAATAGAATGCTTTCTCTACTAAATGTAGTTTTAGCTTTCTCATGAAATTCTTCCTGCTTTGTTCATTTCTGATTTCATTAGGAAGATGCTTAAAAAATTTTAATCCTATATAGGATGGTTTTTTTTCATAGAATTTTAATTTATGTTTACTTGAAATAAGGAATTTTTTATGCCGAGTGTTGTATGGGTGATAATTTGTCTCAGAGGTGCTCAAGCAGTTTTTTACTAGAATAATTGTGTCGTAAATATATTGGCCATATACTGTTAAAATTTTCAGTTCTTTGAATTTGTTTTTGGTTGTTTCATTGTGTTCTAATTTCAAAATTATTCTTATTGCTATTTTTTTAAGTTTAAGTATCCTATCCAAATTTGCTATTGTAGTTGAACCATAAAGGCACAAACCATAGGATAAATGCGAATGGACATTAGCATAATATATGTTTTTTAATGTTTTATGGTTACAAAAATAAGACATTCTAGAGAGTGAATATAGTCCTGAACATAATTTTGAAAGGAGTTTATCAACATGTTCATCCCAGTTTAAATTTTGGTCCACAGTTAGACCTAGAAACTGTGTACTGTGTTTATGTTCAATTTCTTCTGCATTATACATGATATTTGGTTTAATTAACTTTTTATTTTGATTTGTTTTAAAAGTTAAAAAATTAGTTTTTTTAGGATTAAGCTTCAATTTATTTTGCTCTAGAAAGTTTCCAATGTTTGCCAATTCAACAAAACTTAAAATTTCAACTTGTTGCACTGACTCAGCCGATACTTTGAGATTTGTATCGTCAGCATAAAAACAAAGATTGTTCTGAGGTAAACATGAGAGTGCACCACCAGCATCATTTATATAACATAAAAACAACAGGGGGCCAAGGATTGACCCCTGGGGTACACCACATTTAACCCTTTCAGTTTCAGAAGAAAATGCTGTATTCTGTTATCATGATTATGTGTGATTTCTACAAACTGACAACGATTATTTAGGTATGACTGAAACCATTTTATTGATTTTTTTGTAACCCCTAAAATGAGTAATTTATCTATCAGTTGGGTGTGGTTGACACTACCAAATGCCTTAGTTAGGTCCATGAAAATTCCAATTGTGAACTCCCCTTTATCAACCGATTCAATTATAGATTCTATGAATGACACTGCTGCTGTAATTACAGATTTTCCAGGCCTAAATCCATGCTGAGTATTGTTTAATAGTTTAAATTCTTCTAAATAATTTAATAACTGACAGTTAACAATTTTTTCATAAATTTTTGATATTACTGGTAGGAGAGAAATAGGACGGTAATTTGACACAGTTTCTAGGTCGTCTTTCTTATAAATTGGTATTATTTTAGATTTTTTAAATTGATTTGGAAAAATTCCTGATACAAAAGATGAATTTATTAAATGACTTAAAATATGGCTCAGGCATTTTTTGGCATGCTTTATAACTTTAATAGGGACATCATCGTGTCCAACAGAATGTTTGTTTTTTAAAGAGTTAATTACTTTTCCCACCTCCCCCGCATCAATAAATTTAAAATCAAAACCTCTTTTAATACATTGCTCATTTTCAATAAGACTTTGATTTTCAATCTTGCTCTCACATTGGTTGCCACTGACATCCTGATCAACATTAGTAAAATAATTGTTGAACATGTTGGCAATAGTTCTAGGATCACTTAAGCTACAATTTCCCTCTTTCAAAGTAATATTTTTATTTTTTGTTCCATTTCCTTTCCCAACTTCAGAATTTATAATCTGCCATACTGTTTTTTGTATATTGGCTGATTTTTTTATTTTATTTTCAAAATAATTTGTTTTAGCTCTGACTAATTTTGCCCTATATTTCAGTTTGTTTTGTTTTAACTCGTATTTCAAGGCAGGATTTTTGTTCCTACGATGTTTTAAGGCCAATTGTAGTAGTTCTTTTTTTTCATTTTTCAGGTCTTCTGAGATCCAATTTTTTTTGCGTTTCTTTTCAGTTACAGTAATTTTGGGAAACGAAATGTCAAAAAAGTGCTTAAATGTACTATAAAATTCATCATATTTTCTTTCAACAGGAGCCATGTAAACACTCTCCCAAATCTCAGTTTCCAAGAGGTTTTTAAATAAATTCAAATTTTGAATATTGAAGTTACGAGTTGTACGTTTTATAGTTGATTGAACCTCTTTTGTATTACTTAGGTTTTTATTTTTTATAAGGAGCAATTGTCCATCATGATCTGATAGACAAGTTACAATTCCCTCAACAGTCACCTTGCAATCATGACAATTTTTAATTATAAAGTTATCAATTGCTGATTCAGATTCCTCAGTAACTCTGGTTGGGAAATTGACCAGATACCTCATTTTATGAACTTTTAGTGTTCTTTTTAGTAATTTATGATTAGGGTTATTTTTTAAAACATCAATGTTTATATCCCCTCCCAAAATTATATTAACAAACTTTTTGGAAAAGTGGGAAATTAACATGCTCAATCTATCTAAAAATATTTCACAATCCGAGCTAGGTGACCTATACACTCCAATTGCCAAAATTTTAAATCCGTCAATTATATAGCTACAGGCACAAAATTCGAATTGCTTATCTTGAAGTAAACTACCAGACAACCAATTTGGAACATCCACCCGCTTCCACTTTAAACCCTTCAGGGAAAGCATAACGACGCCACCCTTGAAACATGTTTTTCTACAATAAAAATTGTTTACATCATAATCTTGTATATTGAGTCTGTTAATTTCATTTTCCTTCATATCGTGTTCTGTTAAGATTACAATATGAGGAGTTAATTCATTTATAGTCACTAATAAAGGTTCGATCCTTGATGGTAAGTGCTGAATATTTTGATGGAATATTTTTATTACATTTTTTTCTGTTTGTACGTTTTTGTTGAGATTATTATTACTGATGGGTTTAAAGTGGGAGCGGGAGTCGCCATTACAAATCATGTTGCTATCACTTGTATTGGAGTTTCCAATAAAAAACCAGAGCCACTATCACTCACAACCCCAGAGAGAATCTGCCCCCCATCACTTGACACAGGCGCAGGCCGCTGCAGCTGATCTGGATCTGGTGTAACAGGGGGTGCTTGTAGAGGGGGGAAGTCCACCATTGAGCCAATTGTGACATCATGACCAGAACCAACAGCAGCAAGGGGT